CAGTGCTTTGGGGCCTTGAGTAACAAAGTAGCAAGTGGGCACATGAGGCAAAGCACGGTAAAATGATGACATAATAACTTCAACAAAGAAGGTAAAGGAGTAGCAAGGACTTCTGCCACATCAGAATTTTATCAGTGCCTGCAAAACAGTCCGGGACATAGTGTAGTGAAAATATTGCTTATTATCTTGCTCACATTCCACACGATGAATTTTCAAGGTCTCGTTCCATGTCTAATTCCCCTTCCTTCTTTATCTCAAGCATCTATATGGGGAGTGGTTCATTCACCCATTCATTTGCCCTTTTATGCACATATAGAGAGCACTGAAGTCAGGATGCTGGGCAGAGAGCTATGGGGAACACTTAACATGTTGTAAAGAGAACATGCAGTGTGACAATTTAGTTCATACAACCATCCTGTCTTACACACAGAAGACAGGAGTCAAGAGAAGCGATCATAGTCCTTGGGGAGCAGATCACAAAATTCATCAAGATTCATACTCCCTGGACTTCTGAGCATCAATTCTCTCTGACCTCCGTTAGCAACTAAATCATCAGTGAGCAATATGCAATTGTACACTTGTCAGTTCACTGGCCCTGACCAACTTATCTATCTCCGGGACAAGAAATGCCTTGTTACTAAAAGTACTGGTGATGAAAAACTCAAAATATAAATTGCTCTTCTGACTCCATATCAGAATGTGAAGTTCTGAATTAAGCTCAAAATTCATAATTTGATCCTTTACTTGGTCACTAATTGGTAAAATGAGTCATCAGGCAGGTGCCAGTCTATAGGTAAATGACTGAAAATGGAATTATGAATTTCCATTTCTGAAGTTACTAGAGGACAGAAAAAAGAAAGTCATTTTCTGGTGTCTCAACATTATGATAAATGGAGAAAACATTGAAATTATCAAAGATTTCATTTTATTTGGATCCAAAAGTCAACACTCATGGAAGCAGCAGTCAAGAAATCAGACATCATCTGATGGAACCACAGAGACTACGGGCCCTAGCTGCCCTTCAGGTCTGGAACTGAACCCACACCTGTGGCTTTCAGCCAAACAAAAGACAGGTATATGAGTTGAACATTTACCTAAGGTAGATATATTCCTTGGAGAGAGAATCATGGGAGAAAGAAGGGCTGCTTATGCACAGGGAGACAGCTCAGGGGGCAGGAGTACATGGAGGGATGGATGCTGGGAAGAGGAAGTGGGAGGGGAGCTGTTGCATTGTGGTAAATTGTGGTAAATGTCATGAGAGAAAGTGTATGTGAACTGCTGTATGGAAAGTGAATTTGCTCTGTAAATTTTCACCCAAATCACAATTAAAAAAAGAAATCAGGTATTGTATTGCACTGGGCAAATCTGCTGCAAAAGACTTCTTTAAAGTATTAAGAAGCAAAGATGTCACTTTGAAGACTAAGGTGTACCTAACCCAAACCATAGTATTTTCAATCACCTCATGTGCATGTGAAAGCTGGACAATCATAAAGAATATCAAAGAAGAGTTGATGCCTTTGAATTATGGTGTTGGCAAAGAATACTGAAAATACCATGGACTGCCAGAGGAATGAACAAATCTGTCCTGGAAGAAGTGAAGCTAGAATGCTCCTTAGAAACGAGAATGGCCAGACTTCATCTTACCTACTTTGGTCATATTTTCACAAGACCCCATTCCCTGGAGAAGGATATTATGCTTGGTAGAGGGTCAGCAAAAGAAGGGAAGACCCTTAAGGAGAAGGGCTGACACAGTGACTGCAACAATGGGCTCAAGCATAGCAAGGAGTGTGAGGAAGGCGCAGGACCGGGTAATGTTCCGTTCTGTTGAAAACAGCGTCACTATGAGTTGGAGTCAACTGGACAGCATCTAACAACAACAGTGCCTCAATGCAAAATGGGAGAAAAAAATATCCATTTCTCTAAGAATATACAAAAGTTAATGTCTAAATCTGAGAGAAAAGTGTTCTTTGCCATTTTATGTGGTCTTAGTAAACATTTGGAAAATGAAAACTCAAGCATAATACTCAAATGTATATCAAAAATTAATTATCTGTCAAAAATTCTCCCTTCCGACTCCTACACACTCTCTCTTGCCTCAGTTCAGGAAAGCAAATTGAATTTCATTTTGGCGTAATGGTAACAGATGGCTATTTTATTAAGCAATTTGAGTTATCTGACAGGAAACAGTGTCCTACTCAACATTTCTGTTATCACCTATCAATGGCCAAACTAAAAAGACCCATAATCAAGCTAGCTAAAAGAAAAAAAAGAAAGACACTATTCCCTTAGAGATAATTTCAAGTATCAACATAAAAGTCATAGCTTCTTGGATATGGATTTTCTTAGTCATCTGCTGCCCGAAATCATTTTTTTTTTACCCTGGTAAGCCCTAATACTTTATTTTTGAAATGAGTTTTATACACACTAGTTGATTTGGGCTCATGTCAACCCTGTGTGTTACAGAGTACAATTCCTCCACAGGGTTTTCTTGACTGTAATCTATATGGAAGCAGATTACCAGGTCTTTCCTCCACAGCACTGCTAGGTGGGTTTGAACTGGCAACTTTTAGGTTAGCAGTTGAACACAAACTGTCTGCAGCACCCATGCACATTCACACCCAGAAAAATAGAAGCATTCATCAGCACGTTGAGATAGTTGAAAATCATCACAGATGATGATGTTTATGCTTCAAATGTACTAAGTTAACTTCTTAGGCCAAGACTTGAACATAAGTAACTGCTGGTCCCTGAAGAAAAGAACCCTCTGCTACAATATACTTTATATGGGTATTTCATCTTTTTATTTCTAAAGCTGTTACTGAACAGTCTAAGGAACATGGCAATAAATGGAAAAACTGCATATAGCCCCAAATAGCAGCACCTGCAGCCTCTGGGTCATCACCCTTTCAACGTGTATGGTTATCCCTTTATCCCTAACCTCGGGAGTCCCCAGGCTTCTATGATTCCCCTGGTCCAATTCATTCTGCTCTACATCCTTAACCCACACTTTCATCCTGTTTCTTTTTAGCTGCTAACTCTTCAACAGCTATTCAGTACACATGAGAAAAATTGGAACTCCCTCGGCCTGGCCCTGAAGGGAATGACGCCAGCCTAGCTTTCCAAGCATGTGCTTGTATCCCTCTGAAATGAGCTGCTTCTCTTCTTTTCACCCAGTATTCGCCAGTAAATAGTCCCACAAAGCAACGTAGCAATAGCCTATTAACCGCTGTTCACGACAACCTCTCTTCTCCCTTTCTCAACTAATCCACACATATGTCTTCTCTATGCCTCTCAGCTCATCCAAAGTCTACCCATGATTCAAAATCTAGCTCAAGTTGCCCCATAATTTTATCTTCTCCTTTGTAATTCCTATGGCATTTGGAACCACTATTTGCCACAGACAACTAAAGAGACTTTGAAATTGCTTTCATTTTGTACAAAAGATGCAGTATTGATCTTTTGTGCTTTTATATGACATTCCATGTGTATCTCAACAAATAGGTTTTGAGTTCTTCAAAGTAAAGGTTCCCATCTTATACCTTTCTCTCTCTGTGTGTGTATGTGTGTATGGTCTGTCCTGTACAGATAATACAATTTAGTAAATATTCTGTAAATTTATTAGGTGATATTTTAATAAATATATCTTCCTAAAATGTATCACAGATTAGCAGATAATCCTTTAGATACTGTGGTAGGTAAGGCTGTGTGTCAACTTGGCTGGGCCTGGTTTTGAGTAGCTGGACAGCTGGATATAGTTATTCCCCAGGATGAGACTGGTAATCTATTGGAGCAGCTGAGTAGCTGCCTTAGGGATGTGGTCTCCTTCCAGGACATAAGAAGACAGGTGTGAGGAAAGTCTCTGAGTTGTGGCCCATCTGGATCCTGTATATAGCCGAGTCTTTATCTCAGTGGCCAGCCATGCTGTCTGCCAATCTTGGGACTGTTAATGGATTTGAATTAGTGGTCTGCTGTGTTGCTTGATAATTTTGGGACTGTGACATTTTACTTGTCAACCCTGGGTTTATCAGCCTCAGCAGCCAGAAACCAGAGTTAAGAGACACTTCCCATTTCAGTGGGCCAGGAGCAAGAGGCAGAGCTGAAGCCCAAGGTTGAGGGGCCTTCACCCAGCCTCTAGAGCTGGTATTTTGAACTTGGACTTGCCTCCTCAACTGCAAGAGAATAAATCCCTCTTTGTTTAAACCACCCACTTGTGGTATTTGTGCTAGAATGGCACAAGAAAACGAATACAGACACTGAGAAGAGAAGCAAGGCATTCTGACAGGGCTCCATAAAATTCACAGCAATAAAGTATAAGGATACTGCTTCTCATCACCAGATAATGTCTGCAGATACCACCAATTGTCATCACATCAGGGGACTTGAGAGAGCATGAGACACCCAGATGGGCAAGGCTCAGGGATGCAGTGAGATGTGTTGTGACCATTCCTGGGTAGGTTTCTTTTTAATAAAAATCTGAGAGGATAATAGTCTATTTGTTGTATCAAAATGTCATGACACCAAAATAGCCATGTCAAAATGCCACGCTGGCCCCTTTTTTTTCATTTTCTTTATTTCTGGAGCATAAATCACCTGCCTATATGGCATAAGAGTTTCCAATATGCCTTTTAGCCAAGTAACCACATTTGATTATTTTCTATAAATCTTTTCCTAGAGTAACCTCTGCAGATCACAAACAAAATACAGACATGTTATAGCATTTAACACTGTCAAAACAACTGAAGAAATTGTGGACATGATTAAGTACAGCATGGCTATGAAGCACTGAAATATATTAAAAATGCTGCCTCTCAGAAGTATTCCCAGTGTACATGTGAACTTAAGTGTCAAGTTCATAAATGCTACAAAGGAAGAACCTACCCCGGAGCAAGAACCCAAGAGGTTCCCAGAATGCTCAAGTGAATTACTTTAATGGAAGTGATCTGCATATAACTCTGTGAGAATATTTGGCACACATGAGAATTAAGATGTAAAAGTCTTACCTTGTGTCTGTTTCTTGTTCACTGCATTATCAGCCTTATGTCGTTTCTAAAGTAAAAAACAAAAAGAACTGTGAACAAGGGAACAATTAGTAAAACAAAATAGCACCCACACCACAAGAGGGATTTCTTTTAACTTCTGTTTCTCAGGGTTTTAATCCTGTCTGCTCATATCAATTTTATAAGTAAGGGTCAATGGGGATGTGGACATGGGAATAATCGGAGGGCACTTAGGAATCTTTAAACTGACAGCACAACTCACAGCACCTTTACATAGTACCACTGGGAACACAGGTTTGCTGCCCTCGGAAGGATCTTAAATTAGCATATATGTGGTTTACAGACATCAGCCCTTCATTGAATTATGGAAGATCTACTCAGCTTAATTAGGAGCTCTGGTAGCACAGTGCCTAAGGCACTTGACTGCTAACCAGAAGGCTGGCGGTTCAAACCCACCAGCCACTCCTCGGAGGGAAGACGGGACAATCTACTTCTGTAGTGATACTGCCTCAGAAACCCAAGGAGGTGTTGCTATGAGTCAGGTGTGACTCGACAGCACATAACAACAACAACAACTCAGCTTAATTAGATAATGAATTTCATAAGAAGCTGAAAAATTTCAATATTGTTATTAAATGATACCCACTGCTGTTGAGTGGCTCCCAACTCAAAGCAATCCAACAGAGCAGAGTAGAACTGCCCCGTAGGCTTTCCTAAGCTGTAATCTTTATGAGAGCATATTGCCAGGTCTTTTCTTCTACCAGTAGAGTGGCTGGTAGGTTTGAACTGCTGATCTTTTGGGTAGGACTCCAGGGCTTAACCACTGCACCACCAGGGCTCCTTAAATTAGCATGTAGGTAAGACTAAGGGAACTCTGGTGGCATAGTGCCTAAGGCATCTGACAGCTAACCAGAAGGCAGGCAGTTCAAACCCACCAGCCACTCCTCAGAAGGAAGACTGGGCAATCTACTTCCATAGAGATAGTGCCTTGGAAACCCAAGGAGGCGTTGCTATGAGTCAAATCTACTCAACAGCAGTGAGTTTGGTTTGGTTGAGGTAAAACTAAAATTTTAATGTACTAGAGAGTTGAGCTGAAAAGCTGAGTTAGTCTTTTGCTTAAATAACTCATTTAAGAAAGATGATGGTCCAAGGAAATTATTTATAATAACCGTCATTTAATACCACTGGAGAAAGATGTGGCAGTTAGGTATACAGCCTTAGAAACCCTATGGGGCATTTCTACTCTGTCCTGTAGGGTTGCTATGAGTCTGAATCGATTCCACAATAATGGGTATCATTTAATAAGGACACTGAAATCTTTTCAGCTTCTTATGAAATTCATTATCTAATTAAAATGAGAAGATCATCTATAATTTAATGATGGGATGATGTCTGTAAATAACTAGAACTTTTTGCATACATCCTCTTCTACCCACTGCTTACCAACACTCTTACCCCTGGAATCACAAACCACATAATCGTTTTGTTTCTCCTCCCAAAAGCATTTTTAAAATTACATTTGTCTAAGTCTGAGTGGGTGAGTTTAAGCTATTACATAAGCCAAAGTTTTACAGCAGTGAGTAATGAAACGAAGGGCAAGGTGAGAGAAAAGATGAGACTTTGAGTGGCCAGAGGAAGCTAACTTCTGTACGGTTCAGCTAGAGGTTCTCCACGCCTTGCATCTAAACTTACAGCATTGAGCATAACACATTAGATTCCATTAACTAGGCTGAAAAGAGTTGAGTGTAAAGGTTCTATCACAGAAAGTCCAAGGTCAGATCAGCTGCATATAACTGACTATGCAGTAAGCTGGAACAAATCAACAGCAAATGAGTTCCTAAGTTTTCCATTTGCAAAGACACATGGCTTAGAATCACACTGCATGCACGAAAACACTCTCCAAGAGCAAAGTCTAGAATTGTGGCTTAGCACTCCTCTAAGATACAGCAACATTCTGAGAAGTGGCATGATAGCTGGCAATGTGAATACAGTGAACGCAATCAGCCACAGAAGTGCATAAAATGCAAATAAAGCATTCAAAATGCCTCTGTGGAAGACTGCTGAAAACGATTCTTGCCATGTCCATACACAGGAACACACTAGAATAGTTTCTCAGAATAAAATATTCACTGATAAAAATGCAATACTGCTAACCAGAAACCTGGAGGTTCAAACCCACAAGCCACTCCTCAGAAAGAAGGTTGGGCAATCTACTTCTGTAGTGATATCACCTCGGAAACCCAAGGAAGGGTCGCTATGAGTTGGGGCCAACTCAATGGCATATAACAACAACAACAATAGGCAAATTATTGCTTCCAAAAGCAAGCACTCGTTTTTACCAGCCAATAGTCATAAAAGACTTTTTTTTTTTAATTCTGTTAAATTTGTAGCATCAGTAGAGAATATTTTATAATTGACAAAACTCTAAAATACTCATCTGTTTGTTAATAAAGATCCTAACGAAGGAGTAACTCAAATTTTGGTCCAAATTAATGCTGTAAAATAAATTTTGATGTTTGAAAAAAGTGAAAGTATTTCCAAAATATGCAATGTCTGTGACAGACAATGGTTAGACTTTCAACTGAACGACACAAATAAACATTCACTTCAAACAGGAAATTTAATCTTATGAAGCCTAAGGAGATTGTGAATATTACTTTCCATTTACAGAGAATTCTCACACATGAAAATCTCTTTTCTCAATCTTCCTGCCAGAGAATAAATTTTGTTACTTGCCATGAAACAACTGTGTTGAATATAAATTTAAGCTTCCATCTAAACAGGAAGTTTCTTAAGACTACAAAAAGAAATGATCTTAGTATAATTAAGCATGCTAAATGTTGACCACTCCCTACTTCTCTGGTGACACAGTGGATAAGGCGTCTGGCTGCTAAACAGAAGGTCAGCGGTTCAAGGCCACCAGTTGCTCTGTGAAAGGAAGATGGGCAATCTACTTCTGTGAAGATTTACAGCCTCCAAAACCCAGTGGGGTCAGTTTAAGTCGGAATCAACTCAAAGACAGTGAGCTTGGTTTGTTTTTTGGCCCTACTTCTGGAAGCCCTTCCCTCCTTTGTTGTTGTTGCTGTTGTCAGGTGTTCTTGACTTCATTTCAACTCACAGCAACACCATGTGACACAGTACAACTTCCCCAGATGGAGCAAACAACCATCTATCTCCCGTAGGTAAGTTCAAACCATCAACCTTTTGGTTAACAGCTGAGCACTTAACCTTTGTGCCACTAGGGCTCCCTCTTCCCTCCTTAGTATTTCTTATTATATCGCTGCCAAGGTTTCCCACCTCTACTTCTGCCTTCTTTGCCAGCTTGCTTCAGTGATTGAAACCCCTAAGGCTTACTTACTCCCTGGCCTTCTTCTCCTCTCTATGTATGCCCTTCCTAGCTCATCTCTTCCATACCTGCAGCTTCACTTACAACCAATAAGACAATTTATACCAGTGAAGACTCTCATCTGAGCGCCAGACTATTATGCCCAGTTGCCTCCTTTACAACTCCCTTTAGGAGTCTCAAAGGCATCTCAAAATATGCTCAAAAGGCAACCTTAACCTCCAAGATGATGAAAACCTAAGCCCACATATCCTTGAGAACAGAAGAACTAGATAGCACCCAGCTAACACTGTCAACCACTCAGAAAGGGATCAAAACAGAAGATCTGGGATAGAATGGGAGAAAAATGTGGAACAAAACTCAAAATCATAAGGAAGATCAGGCTTACTGGTATGATATGGACTGGTAAAGCTCCAGGCACTATGGCCTCCAGTCATGCTTCAGGCCTGAAACTGAACTCACTTCTGTGGCTTCCACCAAACAAATATATAGGCATATAAAGTGAATATTTACACCAGGTAGGTGCACTCAGTAGAACGATCAACCATGGGAGATCAGAAGAGCAGTATTTGCATGGGGAAATAGCTCAGAGGGTAGGAATGCACAGAAAAAGGACACAGGGAAAAGGTAACCACTGGGAGGAAATGGGAAGAGAGCTGTTGCACTGTGGGATTGTAATCAATGTCATGAAACAAAATGTGTATGAACTGTTGTGTGGGAAAAGAATTTATGACAAAGTGTATGTGAACTGCTGTATGGAAGATGAATTTGCTCTGTAAACTTTCACCCAAATCACAATAAAAATTTTTAAAAAGGAAAAGAAAATGAATTTGCTCTGTAAACTTTCACCCAAATCACAATTAAAAAAAAAAAAAAGACTAGTCCATTCAGATGGATCTTTGCTGAAAGCAAAGATTGTAAGAAAGTTGTCTACCTATTTTACTGACTGTTCAAAGGCTTTGACTGTGTGGATCATAACGAATTATGGATAACATTACAAAGAATGGGAATCCCAGAACACTTAATTGTGCTCACCAGGAACTTGTACATAGACCAAAAAGCTGTCATTTGAACAGAACAAGGGGATACTGCATGGCTTAAAATCAGGAAGAGTGTACGTCAGGGTTGTATCTTTCACCACACTTACTCAATCTGCATGCTGAACAAATAATCTGAGAAGCTGGACTATATGAAGAAGTACACAGCATCAGGATTGGAAGAAGAATCACTAACAACCTGCTATAAGCAGATGACACAACTTTGTTTGCTGAAAGCAAAGATGACTTGAAGCACTTACTGATGCAAAGACTACAGTCTGCAGTGTGGATTACACCTCAATATAAAGAAAACAAAAATCTTCACAACTGGAGCAATAAGCACCATCACGATAAATGGAGAAAAGGCTGAAGTTGTCAGGGCTTTCATCTTACTTGGATCCACAGTCAACACCCATGGTGGTAGCAATTAGGAAATCAGGCGCTGGGCAAATCTGCAAAAGACCTCTTTAAAGTGTTAAGAAGTAAAGGTGTCACTTTTAAGACTAAGGTACACCTAACCCAAGTGACGGTATTTTCATTTGCCTCATATACATGTGAAAGTTGGACAATAAATAAGGAAGACCAAAGAAAAGTTGATGCCTTTGAATTATGATGTTGGCTAAGAGCACTGACAATACCGTGGACTGCAAGAAGAAAGAGCAAATCTGTCCTGGAAGAAGTGCAGCCGGAATGCTCCTTGGAAGTGAGAAAAGCCAGACTTCATCTCACCTATTTGGTCATATTGTCGGAAGAGACCACTCACTGGAGAAAGATACCATGCTTGGTAAAGTGAGGGTCAATGAAGAAGGGGAAGACCCTCAATGAGATGGACTGACATGGTGGCTTCAATGATGGGCGCAGGCACATCAAGCATTGTGAGGATGGTGCAGGACTAGACAGTGTTTTATTCTGTTGTTGTACAGAGTCACTGTGAATTGGAGTCATACTGATGGCACCTAACAACAACAATGCATATGCCAAGACTCACACCTAAATACCACTTCATATGTAATTATTGAATGAATGAATATGTATATGTGTGTGTGCATGTATATATATAATATTTTCTCCTACAGATGACTCTTTGTTCAACTATCTGTATAGTTTTTTTTCTTACCTAAGTAGTAGTATTTCATAATTTCTATCACTTTATACTTTGATTTAAACTTCTTTTTAAGTCATCCTTGTAGAAAATTTTTACTCAATTTCTTAACTGATTTCACCAGACAAGTACCTCACATAAAAATAATATTAGTATGACTTTCTTCAGGAATTGTCTGGTTATCTGCTTTCTACTAGTAACCAACTACTACACAGTGCCAACAGAAGTCCTGTTCCAATATCTTGGATACCATTTTATTTACCATGTATTTTCAAACACAAGGTACTAGAAGCTGCAGTTAGAGAGCGTATAGCTCCACCAGCATAAATAAATAAGAGGATAGGGATGGCAGCTTAGAGCAATAGTTATGATGCAGACCTCTAGCGTCACACCACCTTGCATCTGCTGTTATTAGGAGCTCTGGCAGCGTAGTGCCTAAGGCCCTTGACTGCTAACCAGAAGGCTGGCAGTTCAAACCCACCAGCCACTCTGCAGAAGGATGGCTGGGCAATCTACTTCTGCAGTGATACCACATTGGAAACCCAAGGAGGGGTCGCTATGAGTTAGGTGCAACTCGACAGCATATACGAACAACAACAACTGGAGAAGTTTACCCCTCTGCCCCTTCCTCCTCATGTGTCAGATGGGGATAACAGCAATACTACCTTGAAGGATTATTACAGGATTTAATAAATGAAAACATATAAAGCAATACATGGTACCAGAAAGTTCAATAAATTTACCATCGTTGGGGCTCTTCATAATAATACAATAGTAAGAGCACTGGATGGGCTATAACTAGTGAAAAGATGCTCAAGCATCTGATGTTATTGGGGAATTGCAAATTACAACAAAGAGATACCTAGTTATCAGAATGGCTAAAACACTGACAACACCAAATGCTGTGGACACTGAGCAACAGAACTCTCATTCATTGCTAGTAGGAAAGCAAAATGGTTCAGCCAATGCAGTGTGGCAGTTTCTTACCAACTAAACATAGTCTTGCATACAAAGCATGAGCAACAAAAGAAAAAAAAACGTATCGGACTTCAAAACTGAAGACTTTTGTGCATTAAAGGATTTTGTCAACAAAGCAAAATGACAACCTACAGAATGAG